CCTTCCCGTGGGGGAGCGGGCCCTCGCTGCGGTGGCCCCCCCAGCCATGAGTCACTGCAAGATGTTACATTAACCCATCAGTTTGTGTGTGGAACCAGCCCTTGTGCATCTGGTGTCTGCCCATGAGGAGCTGGTACTTGAAAGACCTCTGTGTTGTGCCTGTCTCTCACCCCACTGCTGCTCTGGCCTGATCTGTGGCACACAAGCACTTCTGCAGGAGTTGCCTTGGAGCTCCTGTCTCCCTTGTGCTCGTGGCAGGTCTGAGTCACGGGCACGCCTCCTCTGTTGGCCTGTGCAGAGAGGACTTGTAGCCGAGTTTGGAGCTGGGAGTGTAGTGCTGTGGAGATGAGAGTGAAATGCTGGTGAACAGTGCTAGTTGGGTGGGAGAATGAGCGTCCTGAACTGCCCAGGTTCAGATGCAGTGATCTTGTGAAGGGCCTTGGACTTGAGGTGCACTCTGGTGTCACCCCAGTCTTGTTGATCTGTGGGAGAGGGCTGAAATTAAGGGTGTTTGGCAGTGATTCCTTTAGAAGGGCAATGGGATGGGCCAGGCCATCTTCCACCTCCACTTGGACCTGCTGAGGGTTAAGCCCATGTGTGTCCAAGAACAGCTGAGGCTTATAGAATTGCTTCAGGAAGCTGTTGTGGATTGTTTGTGTTGGGACCTTGTCCTAGATTCAGCTACAGCTGTGTTTTTGACTTTCAGCCTGGGAACAACGCTGATAACACCGTTGGTTTTAGTTGTTGCTCAGTAATGTTTACTCTGGCCAAAGACTTTCTCAGTCTCATGCTCTGCCAGGGAGGAGGGGAAGCCGGGAGGAAGCAAAGACAGGACACCTGACCCAAACTGGCCAAAGGGCTATTCCATACCACAGCACGTCATGCCCAGGATAGAAACTGGGGGGAGTCACCCAGAAGACCCAGATCACTGCTCAGGTTGGGCTGAGTATCGGTCAGCAGGTGGTGAGCAGTTGTGTCCTCTACCCTTGTTATTTCCCTTATCATAATTATTATTGGTGGTGGCAGTAGTGGTTTTGTATTATACCTTAGTTACTGGACTGCTGTTATCTCAACCCATGGGAGGTACATTCCTCTGATTCTCCTCCCCAACCCTCCGGGGGGAAGTGAGCGAATGGCTGTGTGGTTCCGAGTTACCAGCTGGGCTTAAACCATGGCAGACCTCTAGAGCTGGAAGATGACAGGGTTTGACCCATAACATGCTTGCTTTTGTCAGGAAGTTCTGCTTCAGAGTGCACTGCAGGATGCACTTGGAGTGATGAGCGGCTTTGCGAGCCAGGCACTGAGCATCTCCCTGCCTGGGATGGAATCATAGAATCCCAGCTTGGTTTGCTTGAAAGGACCTTAAAGCTCATCCAGTTCCAACCCCCTGCCATGGGCAGGGACACCTTCCACTAGAGCAGGGTGCTCCAAGCCCCTGTGTCCAACGCCCTGTGTCCAACCCGGCCTTGAACACTTGAAGAGCTTCTGCCTAAGAGCTCATCTCAATCTCCCCTCTGGCAGGTTAAAGCCATTCCCCCTTGTCCTGTCCCTGCAGGCCCTTGTCCAAAGCCCCTCTCCAGGTTTCCTGGAGCCCCTTTAGGCACTTGAGGTGCTCTAAGGTCTCCCCTGAATGAGCCTTCTCTTCTCCAGGCTGTCTCAGCCTGGCTCCAGAGCAGAGCTGCTCCAGCCCTCACAGGAGCTCCGTGGCCTCCTCTGGATTTGCTCCAACAGTTCCATATCCCTCTTGGTGAATGTGCCAGTGTGTCACTTATGGGCAGTGTCCTGGCCAAAATTACCACTTGGGAAAGCTCGAAGCAGCTGGGCAGGGACAGCAGCCCCGGTCTGGCTCTCCACCACTGAGCCAGTTCTCCTTTCTTAGCAGCAGTAAAGGGAAGCCCCTTCTTGAAGCCTTGGGACCTCCACCACCCCTGCTGTCTGCTGGCAGCAGCCTGCAGAAAGGCCTGATTCTGCTTTCTGTCCCCAAGGGATTAAAAGGATCCTGCCCCACCAGATGACGACTGCTGGCCCAGTGCTCGGGGAGGAGAGGCGCTCGGATGAGTTCTTTGACTCACTGGATCATGTCATTGACATCCATGGGCACATCATTGGCATGGGCCTCTCCCCTGACCACAGGTGAGTGCTGGCTTCAGTGCTGGCTCCCAGCACTGCAGGGGTGGGCAGCAGCTGCTCAGGGGCTTTGTGGAGTGACCAGGAGAAGACATGACTGGTGGATGCAGGGGGTACCTGCATAGGCCGCTCTGCTTGTTCACATCCCATTTCTGTCCTGGTGCAGATGCCTATGTTCCCCTCAGCAGGATTGCCTTCCTCCTCTGCACTGCTGAGCCCAGATCAGGATAGGGTCAGGCAGGGAGCTTATAAGAGTGAAGAAACTGCTCACACAATGTGTCTTGTTCCCAAGGCAGATCAATCTCAGGCTGGTTTGAGTTGAACAGACCTTAAAGCTCATCCAGTTCCAACCCCTGCCACCGGCAGGGACACCTTCCACTAGAGCAGGGTGCTCCAAGCTCCTGTGTCCAACCTGGCCTTGAACACTGCCAGGGATGGGGCAGCCACAGCTTCTCTGGGCACCT